AAAAAGCCAATTTCTGGAAATTATAATATAGGTTCATAAATTTTCCAATCTAAGGAATGTTAATTACTTACTTGTCACTAAAATATCAAGGTTTCTAAGAATTAAAAATGACAATTAAATTAGAAAGAAATTATATGATTTTGGTAATATAACAATTAAAAATAGCCCTGGCTGGTTTGGCTCAGCAGTTAGAGTGTCGGCCTGAGGACCAAAGAGTCCCAGGTTCAGGTTTGATTTCGGCCAAGGGCACGTACCTTGGTGGTAGTTCATCCCCACCACGGTTGGGGATGTCTCTCTCACATCAATGTCTCTCTCTCTCTCTCTCTCTCTCTCTCTCTCTCTCTCTCTCTCTTCCTCCCTTCCTTCCTCCCACTCTATCTGAGGATAAATGGAGAAATATCCTCGGGTGAGAATTAAAAACAATTTTTTTAAATAAATAGATCTAAAGTTAAATTATTTCTGAATGAGTTTAAAAAAAAACAGAGCCCTGGCCGGTTTGGCTCAGCGGTTAGAGCGTCGGCCTGCGGTCCGGAGAGACCCGGGTTCGGTTCCCGCTAAGGGCACGTACTTCGGTTGCAGTTTGTCCCCGGCCCTGGTTGGTCGTGCGGGTGGCAGCCACTCGATGTGTCCCTTCACTGTTGATGTTTCTCTCTCTCTCTCCCTTCCTCTCTCTCCCTCCCACTCTATCTGTACAAAAAATGGAAAAATATCCTCGGGTGAGGATTAAAAAAAACCAAAAAACTGAAAGGGACTAGGAAAATTGCAGAGGGTCTGTGCAAGTTGAAAAAAGAGTATATATAGGGAAGCTACCAAAAAAACCCACATAAACTGAATAATACATTTAATTAAGTAAATAAATTTAAAATAAACTAATACAGAATTTGGTCCTTTTGCAGTCTGTTAAAAGAGAAAATGTTTTTCCTGTATCTGCCTAGGAAGCAAAGATTCTATATACTATTAAAATATTTATATTACGTTATGTTAATTGGGCACTTTATTTAAAAACCCATCTCCTTAATCCTGAGAACTAAAATTTTCTGTTTAATACCTTCTTTGTTACTTTGAATGAATAAATAACTTAATATTGTCTCATATTAGCATATAATCTTTTGGTCAAATATATTTGACAACCTTCCCAGAATTTGAATTTTAAAAAAAAATTTTTTTTTTTTTTAAACCTAGAATTGACTACGAATTATTCCAATAGGCCCCTGGAGTGCCTCAAAAATTTGTTTTCTCTCCTTATGAAAAAAGATTTAAAACAAATTAAACCACTTAATATGCTTAAAATACATAAATAGCTTTTTTAAACAAGAAAAAATAACTAGATTCTATTTATATACACACATTAAAATGAATATTCTGGAGATTATTAAAATACCCCCAGAAGTCTACAAATTCTAACATACTTTCATTTATAACTCTAATTATTATTCTGGAAATTGTGTATTAAAAAAAACAAAAAACAGGATTCCATGTCAATTGCATTGTAACCTAATCTATAACTGTGTCATTTTAAGTTTCATTTTTTGTCATTTATTTATAGACAGTCGTTCTTTATTCTGATACATACACAAAAAATAATACATCTTCTGAAAGTTCCATGGAAAGGACTCTGACTTGTTTTAAATTACATATCTCTGAGAATAAATTTTCAGATCCCGTTAAAAATGGATGAAAATTACTAGAACTCTATGGAATATCTAGAAATATGACCAAAAAAAAATCAGAAAAAAAAATGATTATGGGACTAAATGAACTAAAGATAATAATTTTTTGTTTTCCAGACATGAGGAAATTTAGTTTGAAAACAATTTGATAAAGTATACCTTAATAAAAAATACTGAGCCCTGGCCGGTTTGGCTCAGTGGTTAGAGCGTCCACCTGCGGTCCGGAGAGACCCGGGTTCGGTTCCCGCTAAGGGCATGTACCTCGGTTGCAGTTTGTTCCCGGCCCTGGTTGGTCGTGCGGGTGGCAGCCACTCGATGTGTCCCTTCCGCATCGATGTTTCCCTCTCTCTCTCTTCCTCTCTCTCCCTCCCACTCTATCTGTACAAAAAAATGGAAAAATGCCCTCGGGTGAGGATAAAAAAAATACTGAGACATTTATATTCTTCTATCTGATCCCTGCAGAATTTGGAAACTTTTAATAAGTATTATTATTCTCATGGCAATGTATTTGTTTGCATAAATCCAATAAGAATCTGATTTCTTCATAACAGGACAAAAAGCCAGTTTCCAATTGTGGCTTTATTAACCAAGATATTGACTGATATGTCATGTCTGAGAGAGACATGCCAGGACTCTGGATGTTACCCTAAAAACTTTAAGGAATGAAGACTGACTATGAAGCCAATAAAAGCCCCTTGGAGAAATGGCCTGGTACCTTGCTTATTCATGTGGTTCATGGCAGTCTTTCCAGGTAAGAAACAAAGGTTATGTTCCAAGGAGATGACAAAAAAAGAACATTTTGGAGACCTCAAGAACTTGAGGAATCCACCCAAACCTATAGGTTTTATAGGCAAAGCCAGATGGCAACTATGTGGCTTAGCTTCTGTCCTCTGAGGGGCTGACCAAAGCTCAATCTGAAGATTCTTTATGAAATTACAGCACATAAGATTTATAGAGCCTATGTGATCTATCTGATCAGTTACTATTCTTATCAGCAAATAATCAGGCCAAATAAATATTTCTAAATAGTTTGTATAAAACTGGACTTAATATAGTCTCTTTGAAAATAAGGATAATCTTAGGAGGAAAATTTGTGCTTCAATAAAAAGCACCATGTCCAATTGTAGATATTGGACTCCAATAGTTAACTGTCTTCAAAGTTTTTGTTTTAAGGTTGTATCTGTGTATGCCATACATGCCTCAATACCTGATAACATCACCAGAAATGACCTAACTACAGACAATCTATCAGGCTGTTACGATATGATTTCATTCCAGCGGAAGCCTTACATCTGGAAATCTTATTAAGTGGTTTATGATTTACTGTATACATTAACCTTTGTGTTTTTGTTTTCTTGATTCTATTTTCATAGAACATATGCTTATGTTCTTATTTACCGGATTACTAGCTCATGTAATACAGGCCTTACTGTAAAAGCCATCTACATCACCATCTCCTAAAACATAAGACTCAACAGTTTGGGACTTATGATTAAGTCAATGACATATGGATGGTCTATCAACTTTGCCTAAAACTGCTTTCCCTTTCTGCCCAAATAATTCAGACAGAAAAGGCCTACAATTTCTCATGGGGGAAATCTTAGAATATATCCCTTAACTTGAGTTAAATATAACAGACAAAGGGCTTCAGACAAGTGCGATACACCTGCCTCCAAGAAAGCCATTCCTCTGATCTAATTTGGGATACTGTTAAATTAGCGTTTCCCTTTATCACATGGGTTTTTACCTCTCACTAGACTCTGAGTTGCTAGAAGTCTCCTCACTTTTGAATTTTACCTTTCAACAAACCTTCTTGTCAAGTTTGTCATTTCTAGAATACAACTAGGATGCCAACTTGTCCAACGCGCCAGCCTCCTGAACATCACCTACATCACCTCCTAGGAACACCAGATTGACCTGGACTTTGCAAAATACCTCTTCACTGCATAAAGACTCTCCCTTCCCCTTCTGGCTCCCTCTTCCTTTCACCAGATAGGGAGAACCTAAGGACTCTGCCCCCCTCCATCAGCAGGAAGAAGTTACAGAAGATACCCAACACCCATTTTCCCTGATAAAGGATTCACAGCCCAAATCCACAAGGACAAATATAATAAACCAAAAATAATACAGTCCAGCAGCAAGATACTTTCCATATAAAACTAAACTCATAGACATAAAATTTAAAACTCACAGGGGGGTGGATATCTGGGGATATCAGGGGCACGTAATAAAAACAGAATCAGTTGTTTAATAACTACTCACTATTAAAAAAAAGAGATTTTTGCCTTGGCTGGTTTGGTTCAGCAGTTAGTGTTGGCCCAAGGACCAAAGAGTGGCCAGTTCAATTCCAGTTGAGGGAGCGTATCTGGGTTGCGGTTTGGTCTCTGGCCCTGGCTGGGTCATGTGGGAGGCAATCAGTAGAGGCAAACATCTCTCACACTGATGTTTTTCTCTCTCTCTCCCTCCCTCCCACTCTATCTGAGGTTAAATAAAAAAAATATCCTCGGGTGAGGATTAAAAAGAAAAAAGAGAGAGATTTTCACCCTGGTCAGTTTGTCTCGGCGGTTAGAGTGTCAACCTGTAGATCAAAGGGTTGTAGGTTCGATTCTTGATCAAGGGCACATACCTGGGTTACAGGTTCAATCCCTAGCCTCAGTCAGGGTCTTATTGGAGGCAACCAATCGATGTGTCTCTCTCACATCTCTCTTTCTCTCCTCCCCCTCCCTCCCTCCCACATTCTCTAAAAATCAATGGAAAAATATCCTCAAGTGAGGATCAACAAAAAAGAGAGAGATTTTCTTACAGACCTTGGGAAACCGAAGAACATGCTACAAAAAGGAGAGCAGGCAATAGGGATAAGGCAGCCCAGAGCCCAGATCAAGGATAGAACCTATCTGAAGGGAAGCAGCAATCCAGAACTAATCTGGACAAGGAAAAAAGAAACTTCCTGGGAACTCACTAACTTTAGATTTTTTGCCCACCTACTAACCCTATATAAGAATCTGTTAGAAATGCAATGTCAGAGAGCAGAATTTTCAAGATGACCTGCTGCTCTCTCTATACTGCTGGCATTACTGGAATAAATGCTCATATATGATTCAACTTTGTCTCTGCTTAATTTGGCTCAAGTAGTGACAGGCGTCCTCAGACCTGTTTAGTGGCCTTTTTCAAAAATATAACGTAATGGCAGCTTATCCTTTCCACACCTCAGATCCATTCCTTATTAAGAAAAAGAGAAAAACAGTTCTGAGAATCCAACATTTGATTTGTCAACTTGATTCCTCTTTTATTTTTCAAAGCTGAATAAAAACATGTGCCTTTTAATCTCACCACTTTTTTCCAATCTCCAGTTTCCTCTCTTCTTCAACAAAGGTTAGTTCCCTGCTCCGGTTTCCAAGAACAATATTACTAAGAAATTCATTTCCCTCATAAGCAATGAGTTACAGATCTAGTATGCTCAATGTGAAATTCCTGTGGTTAAGGGTGGAAAATATGTAGAATTACTAGAATTGCTATATGCCCAAAATGTAAAACCATGAAAGAATTATTCTACATTAAAATGATTATACTGGTTCTGTTAAGACCAGATAGCCCTGGCTGGTTTGGCTCAGCAGTTAGAGTGTCGCCCCACAAACCAGAGTCCCGGATTCAATTCCAGTCAAGGGCACATACCTATACTTCTGTTTTAGTACGTCCCTGGTCATGGTCAGGGTTTTACGAGAGACAACCAGTGGATGTGTCCCTCTCACATCAATGTTTCTCTCTCTCTCCCTCTCTTGCCTCTCTCCCACTCTATCTCAAGATAAATAGAAAGATATCCTCGAGTGAGGATTAAAAAGAAGATGTTCAGATAATGTTTCTTCTCCTTGTTCCCTAATTGTCTATACTACATTTTACTTTCTTTAAAAAATATTTTTTCTTTATTGATTTTAGAGGGAGAGGAAGAGAAAGACGAAAACATCAATGAGAGAACATGCATGGCCACCTCCTGCATGCCCCTCACTGGGGATTGGGCCCATAACCTGGGTATGTGCACTAATGGGAATTGAACCGGTGACCTCCCAGTGCGTGGGTTGACACTCAACCAGTGAGCCACACTGGCCCAACTACTACATTTTACTTTATGAATCAAATTATATACAGGGTGTAGCAAAAGTAGGTTTACAGCTGTGAGTATCTGAAACAGTTTATTCTTGTATTTTTATTAATTATTGTATTATTTCTATATGAACAACTCTAAACCTACCTTTGCTTCACCCTGTATTCACATATGGGTATGTAAATTTGTATATATATGTAAACATTTACATACACATGTAAACAAAAATTCGACCCCAAGAAAATACTAAAGGTCGATGCCAAAAACTTCCACACATGAAAAACTTAAACATAAATTTTTACTTATGGAGAGATGCTTGCAAATGGCCTAAAACATTTAAGGATTTAGTATTTTAAAAATAGTTTAGAATTGGTTGCCTCTGGAAAGGGGCTAGGGTACAGATGTGGTAAGGAAACATTTCACTGTACACCATTTCTGTCTGAACTATTCAAAAAATATTAACTTTTTAAAAGGACAACCTTTTAAAGTAAGCTTTTTCTTCCCCCTAACAGAAGGCATAAATAATTACATCTTAATTTTCTCTTGAACAGAATACGCTAAATTGTTTTAACATCTATCTGACCCTTGTTCCTGACTCAATGTGTTTGCTAGGGTTAATACATGATTTTTTTTAAAAAATTCTAAACTCTCTAAGTAGCCCGGCCGGTGTGCTGGTGTGCTCAGTGGTTGAGCTTCGACCCATGCACAAGGAGGTCACCGGTTCAATTCCTGGTCAGGGTGCATGCAAGGTTGTAGGCCCAATCCCTAGTGGGGGTCATGCAGGAGGCAGCCAATCGATGTTCTCTCTCATCAATGTTTCTATCTCTCTATCTTTCTCTATCTCTCTCTCTCTCTCTCTCTCTCTCTCTCCCTTGCAAATCTCTCTCTCAAAACCAATGAAGAGGGGAAATCCTTTTATGCTAAACACCTGAGGGAGTTTTTCATTAAACTGAGAACCCAAGGCTCTTCAAGTAACTGCTACTGATAGCCTCCAGGCAAAAAGCTAGAGGATAACTGAACCATTCCTGGGCTTGCAAATCTACCCAGGAAAGACTTAACAGTGGTGTTTAACATGGGTCCTCCCACACTCATACAAAGCCAGTAGAGGGAGCCACAAACAGCAGAACACCAATACCCACAGGGAAAATTGGGCAGGCTCCAAAACCCACCGAGATAGCCAAAATGGTGAAACAAAGAAACACTTCCAAATGAAAGAACAAGAGACCTCTACTGAAGATAAGATAAATGAAAGGCAGTTAAGCAAGCTATCAGAGGCAGAATTCAGAGCCATAATCTTGAGGAAGCTCAACAGTATGATTAAGGATATCAACATCACAAGTAAACACATAGAAACACTGAAAATCAACCAAATGGAAATGAAAAACCACCAAGAAGAAATGAAGAATGACACAGCAGAAATAAAGAACACACTGGAAGGACTAAACAGCAGACCAGAAGAAGCTGAGGACCGGATCAGTGAATTATAAGGCAGGGTAGAAAAAAAATCAACCAATCAGAAAACCAAAAGGAAAAAAACAATTAAAAAACAGGAAGACAGCTTAAGAGAACTGTGGGACAACTGGAAACGTAATAATATTTGCATCATAGGAGTCCCTGAAGAAGGAGAATATGAGCAAGAATTAGAGAATGTATTTGAAGAAATAGTGACAGAAAACTTCCCTACTTTGGTGAAGGAAGAAGGCATTCAAGTTCAAGAAGCACAGAGAGCCCCAAGTAAGAACCCAAACAGGCTCACACCAAGACACATAGTAATTAAAATGCCAAAAATTAAAGACAAAGAGAGAATCCTAAAGGCAACAAGAGATAAGCAACAGGTTACCTACAAAGGAACCCCTATAAGGCTATCAGCTGACTTCTCGACAGAAACACTAAAGGCCAGAAGGGAATGGCATGAAGTAATCAAGGTCATGAAAAACAAGGATCTGAATCCAAGACTACTCTATCCAGCAAGGCTATCATTCAAAATAGAGGTCAAATAAAGAGCTTCCCAGACAAAAAAAGGCTAAGGGAATACACTAGCACCAAACCAGCACTGCAAGAAATGTTAAAAGGACTGTTGTAATTAGCAGTAGAAATGGGAAGAAAAATAGAACCACAATAAACAAAAATGGCAATAAATAAGTACATATCAATAATACCCTTAAATGTAAATGGACTGAATGCTCCAATAAAAAGACACAGAGTAGCTGATTGGATAAGAAAGCATGACTCATCTATATGTTGTTTACAAGAGACCCACCTCACAACAAAAGACTCACATAGGTTAAAAGTGAAGAGATGAAAAAAAATCTCCAAAGCATACAAAAAGGAAAAAAAAAATTGGGGTAGCAATATTCATATCTGATAAAATAGATTTCAAAATGAAGGCCATGCCCTGGCCGGTTTGGCTCAGCAGCTGGAGCATCGGCCTGCAGACCAGAGAGTCCCAGGTTCGGTTCCCACTAGGGGCACGTAACAAAAAAAAAAAAAAAGACAGCCATAACTAGAGACAAAGAAGGTCACTACATAATATATATATATATTTTTATCCTCACCCGAGGACATTTTTCCATTTTTTGTTCAGGTAGAGTGGGAGGGAGAGAGAGGAACAGAGAGAGAGAGAGAAACATTGATGTGAAAGGAACACATCGAGTGGTTGCCACCCGCACAACCGACCAGGGCCAGGGACAAACTACAACCGAGGTATGCGCCTTTAGCAGGAACCGAACCCGGGTCTCTCAGGACCGCAGGCCGACGCTCTAACCGCTGAGCCAAACTGGCCAGGGCTCACTACATAATATTGAAAGGATCTATCCAACAGGAAGATATAACCTTGGTAAACATATACGCACCCAATATAGGAGCACCAAAATATATTAAAAAATCTTCTGGAAGACTTCAAAGGAGAAATCGACAGCAATACAATCATAGCAGGGGACTTCAACACCCTGCTGACATCACTGGATAGATCCTCTAGACAAAAAATCAAGAAGCAAACAGAGACTCTAAATGAAGCACTAGACCAAATAGATTTAATAGATATCTACAGAGAATTACACCCCAAAACTACAGAATTCACATTCTTCTCCAGTGCACATGGGGCATTCTCAAAGACAGACCACATGTTAGGATACAAACTAAGTCTCTATAAGTTCAAGAAGATTGAAATCTCAAGCATCTTCTCAGATCACAATGGCATGTAACTAGAAATCAATTGCAACAAGAACATGCAAAGACATTTGAACACATGGAGGCAAAATAGCATGTTATTAAACAATGAACGGGTTACTGAGAAGATCAAGGAAGAGATTAAAAACTTCCTGGAGCCCTGGCTGGTTTGGCTCAGCAGTTAGAGTGTCGGCCTGCTGTCCAGAGAGACCCAGGTTAGGTTACTGCTAAGGACATGTACTTCGGTTGCAGTTTGTCCCCAGCCCTGGTTGGTCGTGCGGGTGGCAACCACTCAATGTGTACCTTTCACATTGATGTTTCTCTCTCTCTCTCTCTTTTCCTCTCTCTCCCTCCCACTCTACCTGAACAAAAAAATGGAAAAATGTCCTCGGGTGAAGATAAAAAAACATAAAACCAAAACTTCCTGGAACCCTCGCTGGTTTGGCTCAGCGGCTGGAGTGTTGGCCTGCAGTCCAGAGACCCAGGTTCAGTTCCCACTAAGGGCACGTACCTTGGTTGCAGTTTGTCCCTGCCCTGGTTGGGTTGTGTGGGAGGCAGCTACTCCATGTGTCCCTTTCATGTCGATGTTTCTCTCTCCTTCCTACTCTATCTGAATAAAAAACAGAAAAATGTCCTCGGATGAGCATAAAAAAAAAAAAAAAACTTCCTGGAAACCAATGAAAATGAACACACAATACAAAATCTATGGGATGCAAAGAAAGCAGTTCTGAGAGAGAAGTTCATTTAAAAAAAAAAAAAAAATTCGTTTTTGTTTTTGTTTTTTTTGTGGTATGTGCCCCTTGTGGGAACCGAACCCAGGACTCTCTGGTCCGCAGGCCGACGCTCAACCGCTGAGCCAAACTGGCCAGGGCAAAAAAAAAAAAAAAAAAAAAAAATTTTAAAGTAGTAAAACAACAGTGTACATACCACCAAATATTAGTATTAAAATGTTTTGTCAAATTGTTTAAAATAAAGGCAAACATTTAAAATTAATTTTTAGAACTAAGGGTCAAGATGGCGGTGTAGGTAAACGCGGCATCACGTCCTCTCACAACCACATCTATGTTACAATTAAACTGCAGCACAACCATCATTCAAAACCGCCTGAAATCTAGCTGAATGGAAGTCCTACAACTACGGAATTAAGAAGTGGCCACATCGAGACTGGTAGGAGGAGCAGAGGTGCAATGGGCTGGTCCCACACCCATGTGTGGCGGAAAAAAATTAGGACACCTCGCCTGGAAAGGTCCTCCTTTAGGACTGAGGGGTCCCCATCCCACACCAGGCACCCAGCTCAGGGTTTCAGTGCCAGGAAGAGAATCCCCATAAATTCTGGCTGGAAAAACAGCAGGAACTGAGGCTCGGGGAGGCTGAGGCTGCTGGAGCTCCAGGTGGCTCCTCTTAAAGGGCCCGCACACAGACTTACTCGGACTCACACCCTCCAGGCTCCAGCCTAGGGGAGGCAGCTTGAAAGGCACCAGAGA